ATCAGGAAGCTTGGAGCCAGGGAACTCAAGAAGATAAAGAAACTCTTAAGAGTCATTAGCCCAGCCCCAGGGAAGCAGGAGATGACTTTTGGGACATAATAGGACTAAACCACAGATACTAAGGCCTAGAAAAGCACTCAGACTCAGTTCAAAGTTCATGCCACAGGAAGAGGAAACTATTCCAAACAAAAAGCTAGAGAGGGTATAAAAAGTTACTGCCCATGTGCTCAGCCCTTCTTCTCTCCTCTGCTCTTTCCTGAAGAACCATCTTTCTGCGTCTTCAATAAACTGTAACCATCTTCCCAAAGCAGTCGCCATGTTGCTTATTTATTCCCGGCTTGGATGAACCAGGATGAAGACTTACTTCTAACACCACCTTAAAAATCATTTTCTTAGATAGGCTCATTGTTCAAGTCTGTCAAGATCTGTCAAGATGGCACTTATAACAGGGAAAATTACTTAAACTCCTAGAGGTGATATTTTTTTCAGAGTCACATGATAAGTCCTTCCCTGAGATTGCCATTTCTGGACTGCAAAACTCCAGTTGACTGCTAGATGGCAGCCAAGGAATGCTTCTGTGTCCTGGGAAAGAACGTGGCAGAGAGAAACAGAGATAACTAAACTCCACTGAAGATGTTACCTAGCCTGGAAACGAAACATTCAGAAACCAACCCACAAACTCTGAGAACCAATCTTCATCCTCATTCTATACCTGAGCTACAGATATTTGCCACTATTGCAGAGATAACCACTTCAGTGCAAAGTATTAGCAAGGGGGCATAATTGCAAAGAATGCCTGTGTTTTGAGATCTCTTATCTCTCTGAATATACAGTATAACTTGTTATCATCTGCAGAGTGAAAGTTGTCTTTGTGATGTGGTTCCTAACAGCTGTGTGTTCTAGCTGAAGCTGAAACAAGGAACTAAGTGTAAAGAAATTAGGGTTATCCAATGAGTTATACTGTATATTGAACTTTTACCAATTTTTGTGATCCCACTCAAGTGTACTACATTGGAACTTATTAGTACTTCTCTCTTATTTTGAGATGAAATGTTCCCCTGATTTATTGTTATATTTAAATTTGGTGGAACATTTTACTCCCCAACTGGCCCTTGTGTTTTGGTCTAGAGAATAAGAACAATCAGATGAAGTATGCACAAAAAAATAAGCTTTTCTCTGACATGTTAGTTTATTGGAATATATGTTACGTTTAAAAAGTTGCAGGAATCGTCAAGCTATATGTTAGAAGACTGATTGAGTAACCACAATACAGATGTATTTTGTCAAATACAATGGAGGAATCATAAAACCAAGTCATTCTGTCTGTATGACTTTTGCAGAGGTGATGAGTTGGGAAACCTAAAAGAATGGGTTAGGGAATATATTGTCTCAGAAAGATCTATCTGAAAGCAACTTGATGGCACATAATGTGTCTTTGTATTTTTAATAGGAATATAAGTATCCTATGTAACTTTAACATAAGGTTGTATGTTGCTTATTTGGGTTTGAAACAACAAGAATCTGAACTTTTATTATTGGCCTATAATGCTTTTCTGAGGCTTTTAATTAGATAACATCCATACAATACAGTGCTGCAAAAGCACAATCTAGCTAGGAAAGTGTAGAACTTGTTAGGATGAATCTTTAGCTAAAACTGCTTTGATACATTACAATCATCCCCTAATATAACTAATACAAATTAGTTGAACTATCAATTGTTTAAAAGTGTTAGTATACATTGTAAGCCTGCAGCATGTGCAATATTTAATGAAATAGTTTTAGAAAAAGCGGAGGGTGTCCAGTAGTCTCAGCAAATGCCTTATAAAACAATAGGTTGCATTTTCACTCATTCAATAGAAAAATTATCAACCAGTGGTGTTCTTAATTCATATAACAAGATATCCTGGCAGGAGAACTAGTTTTAAAACATATATACACCCTGAAGTAATGTTTTAATAGGCTATAGCACCTGACCAATCTTTCTAAGCTCAGAAGGGAAGATTTGGCCTAGCTAATTTTGGATGGAAAACAATTACACAATACAGTGTGCAATAATAGCTCGGGTGTAGGATGAGGGTGAAGGTTCATTCTCCGAGCTTGTGGGTTGGTTTCCAAACATTTTGTTACCAGGCTAGGTAACATCTTCAGCAGCATTTAGAGGATGTCTGTGTCAGTGTTCTACTTACATGAGGACTTCAGGTGTGGGAATGGCAAGTGAGGGTCTTGTGATGGGCCAGGTGTGAGTCATCAGAGAGAGGCTTGTGATGGGAAGGTACTTCAGGTAGGGGTCATTGCAGGGTATGAATTAGTGGATCGGGAGTGAATCCGCGGGAGGCTGCATCTTGTGATGGGAAGACTATGTCAGATCAGGATCATTGGAAGGTGAATTGCAGGGGAGGAGCCCACAGCCACACTCCATCAGGAATTATCTAGAGTCAAAAACAAGACATAAAAGGATGAAAGAAACAATATCATCTACAAAATCAACGGTAACGATTGCAACCACTTCCACGTGGGACAAACATCATGTCAGTTAAAAACCAGGATCCACGAACACTGGCTAGCAGTCAAACACCCCGATCCCAAATCCCTAATCGCTACCCTCACTGGCACCAAACAACACCAGTTCAATTGAAGCAACACTAAAATCATCGGCCACGCTACCACCCGCCACACTTGGGAGTTCATCAAAGCCTGGCACTCCACAAGCAATTCCATCAACAGACACACTGACCTACAACCAGCATATGAACCCCTCAGAATACAAATCAATTGAACAGCCATCCAGAGACAGCACCAACCCTCAAGCCTCCCTCTTTCCCCCTCAGCAGTTCACCTTCCAATGACCCTGACCTGATATAATCTCCCCATCACAAGACCCATTACCAGCCTCCCACTGATGACTCATTCCTGACCAATGGTGGGATTCAGCCAGTTTGCACCACTTCAGCAAAACCGGTAGCTAATTTGTTGTTGCCCAGGCCCAGAATGGACTTCCGGAAGCGGCTTCCATACAGAGAACCGGTTATTCACATATTTGAATCCCACCACTGCTCCTGACCCACTAATTCACACTCTCCAATGACCCTTAACTGAAGTACCCTCCCTTCACAAGCCTCTCTCTGATGACTCACACCTGACCCATCACAAGACCCTTATTTGACACATCCACACCTGAAGCCCTTATATAAGTAGAACACTGACACAGACATCCACTAAACACCGCTGAAGATGTTACCTAGCCTGGTAATGAAACATTCGGAAACCAACCCTCAAGCTCAGGAAATACGATGTGTATAGACTATACTGGGATTTATACACACACACACACACACACACACAACAAAGCTACGTTAACCTATGTACGAGTCACCAGGAGTCAAACTTGACTTACATGAGATTACCTTTTTTAGAGCTTAAAGATAGCTTCAAATGAGCTATATGACAATAGAGAACATATCCTATAAATGGGTACTCAACATGATCATTAACTTTCCTACCCAGAAGCAATATATTCCTAAATACTAGTAGGGTTTTGGGCAGTGGGCGGTTGGTACCTTTGACTTAGTGTTGATTCCTGCCAACTACTTGGACAAGTCTCAGCAATTTTCTTGACAAAGTTTTTGGAAGTAGTTTGCCATTGCTTCCTTCTCAGGGCTGAGAGAATGAATGGCCCAGAGTCACACTAGCTTTGTGCTTAAGGTGAGACTAGAACTCACACTCTCCCAGTTTCTAGCCTGGTGCCTTAATCACTACATCAGACTAACTGGCTCTTAAAATACTAGTTATTAGAGAGTTATAATTTTAATAATGATTTCCTGCTTGTGTCCCTGAATTATCTGTTTCTCTGTTGATGGAAAGAGGAAGGAGGGCTAGATGATCATGTGGTTAGATTCAACAGGATTTTAAAAATAGTCTTTTAACAGAGCAATCCTACATGACTGAATATGAACAAAACATATTCAGAACATTAATCATAATGGACTCAACCCAATATTCTAGGTTCACATGAAAGGCTAAATCATAAATTAGTAAAAGGGCTGGATTTGCACAGTATGCTTGGTCAAAAAAGAATGAAAGTGATAGTTCATTGTGTTACATGAATATAGGCAATATGTTTACTTGGAGGTAGATGAGAATGGTGCTTACTCCACTGAAGTAAACGGAAAAAGGGATAGGGTTGCAAGGAGAGTACAAGTGAAGGTTAAAGTGGAGGAATTAGGGAAAATAAAATATAGATAAGGATATGCAAGGGTATCATAAGAAGGACAAATAGCAAATGCATATCTTCTTCATATCCATTCTTTGCCACTTTGATATTTTATTATTTTTTAACCATATGATAATTAACAATTAGAGTTACTGTGGTTACACATTGTAGTTGCATGGCACAAATTTCATAGCAACTTTATAATAAGAGAACAAAGAAAGCAAGGTACACCAAATTTTAATTTCTATCATACATTCACTACTAAAGTTACTATACTATTAATCTTTTTTGTTCAGTCCAATAAGGAGGAAGTTTACATATGTATATATTTTGTTTTTATGTATTTATATCCACCTTTATTATTTTTATAAATAACTCAAAGCAGTGAACCTATCCAACACAACTTTCTCTGCCATTTTCCCCACAACAACCCTGCTTACCAATACTTTTGTCTAGAATCTGGACCTAAACATTTGGTTTATTTCCTATGTTCATTCTTATTCTTGGTGTTTGAATGGTAAATGTAGAACATAGGAAATTAAAAAGGTGTATGTAAATATTTTTCTGTTTTTGCAGACACAAAGGTATTCAAGGCTGTTTTGGGCTTGTGCCAATCAAAAGGGACTATTGCTTTGTCTGGAAGAAACTGGAACAACCTGTTTAAGTTTTTGTTTTCTTCTCTACTGATTGGCTGATCAATTAAGTGGGTGGGGACCAGTATATTTGTTGCTCTCACATGTGATGTCATTCTATATAAGCATCACCTTTCTTTGTTATCTTGGGGTGTGTTGCTAGCTTTCTAGGACTGTTGTGCTTTCTTTTAATATCCTTTGTTTGACACAGAACATAGGTTGCTCCTGAATGTTTCATTTTTATTTATTGTTCTTCCATGTAAAATAGAAGAAAAGGATTAATTTGGAGTGGTTAGATGCAGAGTTAGATTTTCTGTCTGTATTCAAGGAACAATTTGAACTTTTAAATAACTCATGCACATCATATTTGGCATTATCTAGATAAAAATTTTTCCAGTACAGGGAATATATGAGCAATAAAATAAACAATAAAAGTATAAACACTCCCTTCCTTTTTGCTCTCCGGTTTTCTGTTGGATTAGGAAAATAAAAATGGGCCAGCTGTGTACCAAGTGTGTTCAATTGCTTTACGACTTTGCTGTCTCGGTGAAAACACTGTTGTCAGGTGTGTTGCGGGACATTAGAGAGTGTTTGGCTGAGATCGCTGACTGCCCTTGCCTAAAACGAAAAAATGTTGAAATGAGGTGGCTCTACAAACCTGTTCTTCATCCCTATGAAGAGGAGACTGCCCAAGACTTTCTGCAACACATTGAAAGAGGTGAGACATTTCTGCTTTTGAAAGTGTGTCAGCCAACTGTGTTGAATTGTTTGCTAGAGTTTTTGTTGCTTTGCTTAAGTCTGTGCAGTTTATGGTGAGGTCAGGGAGTTGTGTTACTTTGTTCCTGGTTGTTTTGTTTTTGTGAATAAGGGTGGAACAGAGGAAAACGCTGAAATTTGAAAGTATCCCAAACAATAATTGGGCAGCTGATTCTCAATCCTAGACTTATTGACCAAATCCCTGCATTTAAATGTGCAGAGGTTTACTTACATGTCAGTTACCTTGATTTTTCTTGCCAAAGCTGCCACAGTGCACTGTTATATTTTCATTCAACCATTCTCATCCCTTGGCTGGGTAAGAAGCACAATACCTCTGGGTTCAGTGGTGTACCATGATGGCTCATAATAACTACTGTACAATAATAAGGGCCAAAGCAACTATGGATTACCAAGCACTCTTTTCTTAAAACAAATCTTCACTTTGAGATAATAGTCTTCTCTAGTTCTTCTAATAGATGAACAAAAAAGAATGTTTACTTTTCCAATTTCATACCACATTCTCTCCACACTCATTACTAAAAAGAAGAAAATCCTAATGTTAGGATCTGGGATATCTGAAATTTTAGTAGCAAATGAAAGAGAGTGAGTGAATGAGAGAGAGAGAGAGAGAGAATTTTTATACATAACTAGAAAACTTGTGGGGTTTTTTTATAAAGAAATACATAATGATGAATTTTAACCTTTCAAATTTATACTTACTTTTTCTTTATAAATTAAGTTCAAAGTAGTTTATAGGAAACTCTTAAAATACATATAGGGTTGAAATCTATCATCAATTTTCCCTGCAGTCACTCAGCATTTTATAGTTTCAGAACGCATTAAATCCTCACTGAATTATTTGGAGAACTTTGCTGCCTTCCAGATTATTTTTCCCGTTAAACATATTGGGTTGTTCTTGAGCATGCACTTGATCCAACGGTACTTTGTCAAAAGGCAACTGGACGTTTTTCTTTTTTCCTCAAATGTCCAGTTGCCTTTTGATAGTTTGGGACAACTATCACTTGGATGACTGAGAATCTCCATAGACATTAAGCATGTACTTATTTCCCTTTTTGACTATATGATTCCCATGTGCAGCATCACAAATTCACAATTTCATCAGAGTAAATTTGACAATCTACATGATTTTATTAATGAGATTATGATAACTCCTGTAGGAATAAAATCTTAAATATTGTAAATCTAAATTCATTTAGATTAGATTCATATTCCCTCAGTAAAGACAATCTGAATCCAAAATCAATAAGGACAAATGAAGATGGAGAGAAATTATATCAAGAAGGAAAGGTAACTAAGGGAAGGAAACGATGCTAAGCTATTTTTAAAAAAGAATTAAGAACAAGGAGAGCATCTTTTCAATTGCTCTATCCACTATGTTTTCAAAACACGCATAGAGAATATTTTCATATTGAAGATTTTTTTTCCCCCTTCACTTACTTCTTTTTGGATTCTTCAATATTTTCACTACTTCTGACACAATTCAGAATCTGTTTTTATATTTTTCTTTAAGGTTTTGAAATGTCATCACTTGGCAAGATCTCTTTAGAGGCCTTGAAGACCTTGGCATTTTCAGATCACTCAGGCTTGCAAATGCTTGCTGCTCTCTATTATCTACATATAAGCCAAGACTGTAAGTAATAGGTTATAACAGTGATGGCGAACCTTTTAGAGACCGTGTGCCCAAACTGCAACCTAAAACCCACTTATGTTTCTTCAGGTGCCAGGTGGGTGTGGCCCATTGGGTGGACGTGGCCCATTGGTTGGGCAGGGCTATGGTGGTAACGACAGACTGGGTGGGACTAAAAACTTCAATCAATCAATTCCAACTTTGCGAGATTTTTTTTCCCCACGAGAAGTTGAAATTGATTGATTGATTGAACTTTTTTTTTTTTTTTTTGCACACGGCAGCGGAGACCTAAAGCGAAAAGATTTTATAAAACCCAGCTGAAGGCCTAGCACTGGGGCAATGGTGCACATGCCCACAGAGAGGGCTCTGCGTGCCACCTGTGGCACACGTGCCATAGACTTGCCACCACAGGGTTATAACAAAGCATGTCCTCTCTAGCTGAACATGGATGAACAGGGTTTTTTTTTAATTAAAACATAGACTAATTTAACATTAGAATTTCATTCATGCACAATTATATGGATTATTAGGATTCACAGGGGTTCAAGAGTGTGCTAAGTAAGGAGTGTTAAGGTGGCTGTAGTAAGATAATACAGGTGTAAGTTAAAGCAAGGTGGAATGAGGCATCAGTGCAAATACAAAAGATTTTAGTCAAAGCAGTGGTGGGATTCAGCCAGTTCGCACCAGTTCGGCAGAACTGGTAGCTAATATTTGGTTGCCCAGGCCCAGAATGGATTTCCAGAAGCAGCATCCACACAGAGAACCAGTTGTTCATATATTTGAATCCCACCACTGAGTCAAAGTGAAAATTATACCAGAGAGCAGCAGTCCAACAGATAGATGTCTCGTTTGATAGAAACTAGAGAGCTGAAGAAACTAAGGCAGAAAGAAGAGAAGAGAATCCTGACTGACAAGAGGCCTTTAGATGAGCTGACAATATCACCCTGACCAAATGCTTAAAGTATTTTCTTTGACTTGCATATTGAGAAGTATCAGGGAAAGGGGAGCCTTTGAGTCACAGATCTCTAGGAAGTTTGGTGTATAAAAAGAAGAAAAAAATCATATATATAAAGTGGATATACTAATCCAATTTAACCGTACCATTTTTCTATAGATGTACTTAATTTCATTCTCAGATCAAATCCCACCTTCCTTTCAAGAACTTGAATGTGAGTTCTTCTCACCTCTGCTCTTAAGGAATGGCAAGTTGGTTGTTCAGCTGCCTTGCAGGCTCATTTGGAGGGATCAAAATGTATCACTGATGTGGAATGTTATATCTTGGGACATAATCTTGCTAGTCAGCAGCAGTTTACTAGGGTGGCAAACTTTTAGTTAAATAGGACTTATACTTGCAAAGAGGGGCTTCTTTGTAACATTAAGTCCTTCATTTTCAGGTGAAAGTTAAGATTACAGTTGAAAGGTGCATGCAGACATTCTCAATCTGTGAGGACGGAGTCACGTTGCTCTTATTTCTGTGCTATACTTTTCGCCATAGAATCAGGTGCTTAAAGGATGGAGGGCACACTTTGGCTGGCCTTTTCTTTGGTTTATACACTGGATGTACAGGAGATTAGCGTTCTCTTTCTAGTACAGAAGCTCAAGGGACCATGGAGAAATTTTCTGCCTCGATTCTAGCAACTTGCTCCAATGGAAAGCGTGAAATGACAATCCAATATACTGTGAGGCCTTGCCTTAGAATTGTAGGAGCTGCTACATTAGAAATGGGTGTGTATGAAAGGCTGGTGTGTGGTAGAATGCATTGCTAGTTGCACTGTGTATAAATCAGGAAGGTTTGCATAGGATAGATTGGCGGAAGGCATCTTCTGAAAGCGGATTAAGATATCTCCTAGTTATGACTGCTTCTGTGCTTGAACGCCCACAATTCCAAGACAAAAGCACCAGTGTTCTGAATGTTCAAATATTTCTTCTCATTTTAACAGTAAACATTCAACTGTCCCAAGAGCATTTGGAAACATACTATGCTTTGCTGAAGTCTAATGACTTGGAGGTTCAGCAGATTTCATCTTTATCTCTGCTCAGTTTTTTATTAGAAGGAAATGGTGAGTGGATAACCAAGAATTCTCTTTCTGAGAAAGTTGAATGCAACACCTGCCTAAAATGTGAGTTCTTTTCGACTCTGCCCCTGAAGATAGACAAGTATGTTGAACTGCCCTGCAGAATCATTTGAAGAGAGGAAAAGGCATCAGTAAAGCAGAATATTTTTCTGATTATGGACTAGATTAAAATATACATATTTACCAATTCATTTGATTTTATTTCATTTACATATAATTAAAATGAATAGAGTAAAACTTCTAATTGTGTTGAATAATTTTCCTCGTCCTATTAAAATTGTACTTTGTTTACAGTTGAGTGAAATTTGGGGACAGTAAAACTCAAGATTGACAGGAGCACATATAGCCCTAGGCACTCAGGTTTTTTTGCATCTGAAGTGTGTGGCTGATAATAAATTTGTTAGATTCTTGCCCCAATGAAATGATTTATTTCATAGGAATTCTGAAAGTAGATTGTACTTCCCAGTCAAGTGGAACACATTTCTCTAGTGCTGAGTAATGACAGTGTCTTTTTGCTGTCTTCAGTATTACTAAATACTAAATTTCTTCAGTATTGCATTTTTAAACTTTGTACTTAAGATTAATTACTACCGAATTTATTTTGTATTGAATTTATAATAATGTTTAAGATTATTTGCTGCTATCACCTTCGTTTTCAAACAGTAACCAAGGAGCATGTCATAGAAATGGATTTACTTGAGCCAATCCTAGAGCTACTGGAATCAGATGATATCAATATTCAGGGTAATTCCTGTGCCTGCTTAATGATGCTGGCTGACTCAGGTGAGCAGGGTTCCCAAAAGTCAAGCCTACAGTAATGCTTAAGTTCAGCAACAGTTCCATTTCCTGCAGTTGCATATAGTATCAACCTTGTGAACTCTCAACGTTCCTCTTTCTGCTATGTGTTCAAAATGGACAGTGATTAATATTTTATATGTGTGTGTGTGTGTGTGTGTGTGTGTGTAGCATGTGTATATGTGTGTTATGTATGTGTATGGGTAGATATATACTTTCATTTGAGAACAGGCAACAGAATTGAATCTTTAATGTGGGCCAGTGTGCTTGCAGTAAAAAAAAAAATGACAATAAAGTTTATCTTATCTTATATCCTGGCTTTTCTTTTTGAGCTCTAATCTACATCCATTTAAGTTCCCCTAATTTTATCCTACAAAAACAATTCTATAAAAGAGAAGATGGGTTGGAAAACAGTGGCTGCCGCAAAGTCATTCAGTAAGGTGGTTAAGCGGAGAATCAAAACTAGCTTTCTCTAGCCCAAAATTCAACATCATAATTATTATACTGCACTGATTACAGCTATGGATACTTCTATTCCCCCCTCCCACATAAACACACCTCAATTTGTCTGAAGAACTGTTGAATTATGCAGATATGTACATTTGCGTTATATGGCTAGGAATGTTATTTGCTTCATTTATCTTTAGTTCATCTTGGAGCGCAGAGTAAGATGTATAGGTGCCCATTAGGATGAGATAGCCATGGGCCCCTCAAGATTCTTGGGAGTATTCTTTCTCCCTCCCAAGTAGGCACTGCAATAAATGCCCAGCCCTTTTTTATTGCAACAGTTGCCATAAAATCCATCCTACAGAATCCTGCTGCGCCCAAACAAATGTCACTGTGCAAAATGACTAGCGTCTTAAATATATAAAGAGAAAAGAAGATGGCAGCCTCAAAAGGTTGTTCAGCTTTCAATGCTTGGTACTCAAACCCAAGTTAATCTGACTAACCGGTGTTTGAAAGGTGCTTTAAACCAGGCAGACAAACTGTCTGCTCCTTATTGCTTGCTTCTTCTGTTGCCATACTTCATTCCAGAGGGCACTTCAACTGCTCTCCTCCAGCTTGGCACTTAGGATACATATTTGATATGCTTTGCTTGATTAAAACGTCTGGCCAGTTGTTATCCCAAGGCAACTTGTAGCAATAGTTCTTGTTGCAGGCTTTTAACGTTATTCACTGCACACAAAACCATGGCTTTAGAGTTTAGGACAGGGGTAGGCAACCTTGGCTCTTTTATGACTCGTGGACTTCAACGGCTGGCTCAGGAATTCTGGGAGTTGAAGTCCACGAGTCATAAAAGAGCCAAGGTTGCCTACCCCTGGTTTAGGACAATGTTCAGTCTCTAATCTTGAATGACTGCTTCCAGGCTATCTCCTAACATAGCTAAACTTCCCTGAATTTCTCTTTTACTCTTCTGCTTCCCTCAGAGGCCTGTCGGAATGCAATTGCGGCAGCAGGTGGAACTATACCCTTACTTTCCCTTTCTAAATCTCATGATATTGGCGTTCAACAAAATGCTGTTCAAGCTATTTTCAACCTCACAGGATCAGGTAATGTGGCAGCCGTGATATATTTTGACTATGCCAAATACTGTACAACAATAGTAAGAAAAAGAGAATTAGAGATAGGTTCCATTGAGGACTTTCTGGTAATAGTGGTATTTGAATAATTGTTATAGAACAATTTAGGAAACACAGAAAATCTATACAGCAAAAAGTGAATTTGTGAAGCTGGTTGCTGACTATTAAAGCTTTATTCCATGTGTGGGATCGGGGGGGGGGGAGACTTTTATGAACAATGTATTGTTTTGAGGATGCACTGAATTATTAACATTGTATTGCCATTTTGCATTTTAATAAATACAGTATTTTATATATATATAGTGCAATCATTTCCAGCCACTTCTTAAATAAATCCATATCACATAGAAATGCTACCTCATCAGGACACATTTTTTTAGGACATACAATCCGGATTTTGTTGTCATGCAGAATAAGATAGCCACATTATTTTAATTCTATTTGCAGCTTTTGTGTACATGATAGAAATGAAATAAACTGGCTTTGCTGCAGATACGTCTTTTGGAAGCTGCAGTTTCTTTCATTTTTAAGTATATACTTACACAGCAGTGATAAGATCCAAGCAACTGATTGCAGATGTCATTTGATTGTTGTCTATTCCTTACAGAATGGATCCAAAGGGTTTTGGTTCGTCAAAGTGCTCTCCCAATCCTCACCCGTTTATTAGAGTCTCCTGACACCGAAGTACAGGTAAACTTAGTATCCATCCATCCAGTGAAACTTTTGAAACCGAACAAACTCAGTAAATAAATACTGGTCTGATGATTCTGGAAACATAGTGCATAATGTTAAATTCAAAACTGCCTGACAGAACCTGAATCCTCAATTGAGCTGAAAAGACACAACAAAAGACAACAGTTTCTGATACCTTAGGTCAGGGGTAGGCAACCTTGGCTCTTTTATGACTCATGGACTTCAACTCCCAGAATTCCTGAGCAAGCTGGCTCAGGAATTCTGGGAGTTGAAGTCCAAGAGTCATAAAAGAGCCAAGGTTGCCTACCCTTGCCTTAGATAAAGGTAAAGATTTTTTCCCCTGTTCAGTCATATCTGACTCTAGAGGGCTGTGCTCATCTCCGTTTCTTAGCTGAGGGAGCCATTGTTGTTCCAAGACATTTCCTTGGTCATGTGACCAGCATGGACTATATGCTGAGGCTCATGGAACATTGTTACCTTCCCGTTGACATGGTGCCTATTTAGCTGCTCGCATTTGCATGCTTTTGAACAGTTAGGTGGGCAGGAGTCTGACACCTTATCAATGTGTTTAGTAACCAACTGATATTTAAAATAAAGTTTTATAGATGAGTGAGTCTTTCTATAAGAGATATTTGTGACATCTGAGCACCAAGTGTAGATATTTTGAAAGCAGTTGTGAGAGAGGCCTTAGCAGCTTAAGCAACTGTGGTCTTGTTTCCTTTGTTGCATTTGTTCCAAGGTTTGAAAAAAGTACTTTGGAACAATCCGAGCACTACTTGTTGTTCTTGACTTTTTGTCTGAAATAATCACAGATGGCCATTGCCCTATTTAAATTTTAAGTTTTGAACTCCTATTTGATTTTCTTTCCATCAATATTGCGGTAAGGGAGAATTGTGAAAAAAAGTGATGTGCTCCTCCTTTCCCTTCAGAAGATTTTCTGGCTGTGTGTGTGTGTGTGTGTGTGTGTGTGTGTGTGTTGTATGTTTTATGCGCAAAATGTTTTAAATCCTTGGAATATCTTTAAATCCTTTATCATATAGAAAAATGGGCCTGAACATTTTGCCCTCATCTACTGCAAACCTGTGCCTATAACTATGGGTTAACATGGGAGTAGAAGGTATTTGCCCCCCCCCCAAAGTTGCTGCATTACTGTCTGAAGAAGGTGCCCCAAAGTTTCTTTACACAATCTTCCTTTTTGTACACAATCAAGTAAAGAAATTGGATTTACTGTATTGGGATTAAGAGTAATATTAATAGGAATTCATTTGGGACAACATCAAGGGTCTTCATGTGGAAAATAGAAGTAATTGAGGAAGGCAATAATTTTCATGCTTGTAAGCCTCACAGAATAGATATATGAATTTCAGTCTATCAGCTAATCTTAAGCCCCAATTTATGTAAGACCAGCTCCATCTCAATGGACTGTGGTCACTTTTCCTTTTTCAGAAAGTTGCTACAGAGCCCAACCAGAAACATAGGAAGGAAAATTTCATATAGAATTGCCCCTAGATAATATTGCTGAAGCTTTGGGAGCCATTTTCTTTTCCAGTTCACTTTTCTGTATTTTTTACAGTTTTCTGCAAAGAGTCAAAAGAATATATTTCTACACAGTGGCATGCATTCCCCAAGAATCTGTTGAAAACTGATTTTAAATATTATATTAGCATAACATATGGTCTTTTCTCTCAAACCTCAGCTCTGGTATTAGAATCCTCACATCTATTACAGTCATTTATTTGCTCAAGAGCTGAGCAATTCCATTTATATTCACTGCTTACAGATTTCTCACTTAACCTCCTAGAGCTTTGGATAGGATCCTGAGCTTTTAACTTCAACCATTTATGGTCTTTTATAGGTGTGTGATGGGTTGTTAATACAGTTTTAGAACGTTAGGCCACAAGTGACTCCATCTCAAACTCCTTATATATTTTTCATTTCTTGTGATGAGTCAAATATTCTTACTAAGTTACGTGTTATTCAGAAGTAGACCAGACGACCTGATCTTTATTTTTCCCACCCATCGTAGAATCCGCCAACTCTTGTCTCTTTACTGCATCTATACCCATTTTGTCTACTGTCCTTACAGTACTACAGCTGTGCTGCTCTCAGCAATGTGGCTACAAATTCACAGCATCACAAAGCCATGCTTCACGTTGGTGACAGGTTTCTTCTGCAGACACTCCTTTCTCTCCTGTCTTCAGGTGTGAACAAGGTAAAGCTTGGGATTGTTGGATACCAATCAAGAGTATTGTCTGCCATTTTTCTAGAAGTTGAGTCATATGGGGTTTTTGTCTCCCAAAGGTTATCTTGATTTCAGTGGACTATAAATACGCTTACAATTATATACTCGAATGTCCTTATTTGTATTTTATTTTAAAATACATTTCTTTATGTGGGAATATGAAAAAGTCATAGATGTTGAATGTGGCATCCTTCATGAATTCCTTGGAGCAGCTTTTCCTATTTTAGTATCTTCTGCATGTGCTGAATGTATCCATGTTGGTTTGGGATCCTGGATCATACAATTCATCTGGAAGGTGCATGGTTGAAGAAGACTACCCTAAGAGATCAAACTTTTAAGCTGGGGGTCAAACATTGAAAAAAGAATGCAATCGAATAGGAATAGAATAGAGTAGAGTAGAGTAGAGTAGAGTAGAGTAGAGTAGAGTAGAGTAGAGTAGAATAGAATAGAATGGAATGGAATGGAATGGAATGGAATGGAATGGAATGGAATGGAACGGAACGGAACGGAACGGAACGGAACGGAACAGAATAGAATAGAATAGAATAGAATAGAATAGAACAATAGAATAGAACAGAACGGAACGGAATGGAATAGAATATAACAGAATAGAATGGAATGGAATAGAATAATAACAGAATAGAATAAGAATAGAATAGAATAGAATAGAATAGAATAGAATAGAATAGAATAGAATAGAATAATAAGAATAGAATAGAATGGAATGGAATGAAATGAAATAGAATAGAACAATAGAATAGAACAGAACGGAACGGAATGGAATATAATATAACAGAATAGAATGGAGTGGAATAGAATAATAACAGAATAGAATAGAATAAGAATAAGAATAAGAATAGAATAGAATAGAATAGAATAGAATAGAATAGAATAATAACAGTATAGAGAAGAACAGAACGAAATGGAATGGAATAGAATATAACAATGGAATAGAATAGAACGGAATGGAACGGAATAGAATATAACAGAATAGAATGGAATGGAATAGAATAATAACAGAATAGAATAGAATAATAATAGAATAGAATAGAACAGAACAGAACAGAACAGAATAGAATAGAATAATAATAGAATAATAATAGAATAACAGAATAGAATAATAAGAATAGAATAGAATAGAATAGAATAGAATAGAATAGAATAGAATAGAATAGAATAGAATAGAATAGAATAGAATAGAATAGAATCTTGGAGGAGACCTAAGCGACTGTCTAGCCTCTTCTTAAAAACCTCCAATGATGGAGCACCCACAATTTCTGGAGGCAAGCTGTTCCACTGGTTAATTGTCCTCACTGTTAGGAACTTTCTCCTTAATTCCAAGTTGCTTCTCTCTTTGATCGGTTTCCAACCACTGTTTCATGTCCTGCCCTCTGGTGCTTTGGAGAATAAATGACCTCCTCTTCTTTGTGGCAGCCTCTCAAATACTGAGAGCCTCCATGAATTTGTTCACAATTTAATGCTGTAGTCTGAATCAAGGTTTACAAACATGGTGCTGTTTTCACATGTAATCATACGGATACAAATGCCAGCAGTAACTTTTTTCCCTCTGGGTATTATAGCAATAGCACTTAGACTTACATTCCACTTCACAGTGCTTTATAGCCTTTTCTAAGCGGTTTACAGAGTCAGCATATTGGCAACAATCATTTTACCGACATCCGAAGGATGGAAGGCTGAGTCAACCTTGAGCCAGTGAGAATTTAACTGCCGCACTGGCAATCAGGAGAAGTAGCCTGCAGTACTGCATTTTAATCACTGCGCCACCAGGGCTCCATATAACTTTGTCTTTGCAGCCTTCCTGCAAAGCTCTAAGACAGTGGTTCTCAACCTTTTTAATGCCGTGACCCCCAACCGGTTGTAAGTCGAGGACTACTCAACTGGTGCAGCACCGTTCGCAGAATGGGACTTTTGGTGGGCTCAGCAGGGCAGAGACAGCCCGGACAATTCCTATTGGCTTTTGAAAGCCAATAGAATTAGACTCTACTCAAGAGAGTCTATTCTATTGGCTTTCAAAAGCCAATAGAATAAAAGGGAGTAGCACACCTAAGGAAAAGGGGGGAAAAAATGGCGGACTGCGTTGTTTGGCGACCCCCGTGAAATGGTCGTTCGACCCCAAATGGGGTCCCAAACCACAGGTTGAGAACCACTGCTCTAAGACATGGACGGTGATTTTATGACTGGAGTTGGTGGAAGAAATGATTTGGTCTTTGGAGAGGTGTGGGGAAGATTTCAGGATTTTTAAGGACTTTAAGGATTTATTTAATCTACCTACAAAAGCTACTCTCTCACACATGTAAAACACTGATGGTATAGCCTTAAAATTTCAAAGCTGGGCTATGTTGCGCCAGAGAATCTTTTTACATTAAATATTTCTTACATTTGAACCCTATTCCATCAAGTATCCTAGTGATAAAGTGTTTAAATAAAAGTAACATGAATCTGCCAGCTTGAAAACATTTAGATTATTTTTATAGACAAGAGTGCTTTTTCTCACCTCCTGATTTGCTTGTTTCCTTCAACTAGATTTCAAACCAAGCTTGTATTTGTCTCAGGAATTTAGCCACAAATGGTAAGTAGAGACCTAACATGGTTGTAAACCATGTTTACAACCAACAGACCGGTACCCCAGTCATACAGAACAGGAAATGTTTTTCCCCATGTTATTTTGTACTGTGCCTAGTCTTTGGAAAGAATGTCCATAGTTTTTTGTTTACTCTGTGAAGTAGGAAGAACATTATATTTTGATTTCATGCACACCTGTTGTGTTGGAGCTTCTTCTGGTTTAATAAAGCTTGCTGTAATGTACCAGACCAGTCAGGCAGGTTTAGAGAAGAACAGCCCACTTATTCTAAGTCCACCTATAAGAATTTCTACATGATCTAGGGCAAGGGTAGGCAACCTTGGCTCTTTTATGACTCGTGGACTGCAACTCCCAGAATTCCTGAGCCAGCCATGCTCAGGAATTCTGGGAGTTGAAGTCCACGAGTCATAAAAGAGCCAAGAGTGCCTATCCCTGATCTAGGGCGATTTTTCTCAGAAGTCCTCTATTCATTTAATATTAAATGTATAATATTATAATAACAAAATGGTAAGATTGGCTTGGTACATGACATGCATTTCTAGCACGGATGAATTGGAAAAAATATTTTATCAGACTAGACGAGTTTCATACTAAAAATTAGAAGAAGCTGACAAAAAAGTGTTTGGTGATAAACTGTCCCTGAACTTGCAACTACTCTATGTTATTATGTTATTATAATGCACTTATTCCTCAGGGTTTGTTTAAATCCAAATTGCTCTAGCTAGAGCACTGCAAAGTCATTAATACAGATTACAGCTGCCGAGTCACACTCTTTATCATCCTAAACTCCCCCAGCTGTATGCCTTTAAACTAAATAAAAATTAGTTTCAATGCTACTTTTTCTAACAAGAAGCTGCAATTAGTCGCATACACTATTAGATAATTCTTGAGCAAAAAAAGTCACCTATCAGATCATTTGGGTGAGGAAAAAAAGCAGCGATCCCATCAAAAATATATAACATTGACAGAAATTTGAAGAAAAAATGATTTCCTGTAATAACAGCTCTGCAAATCTTTTAGAAGAGATGCCTTGTAATGCATGGAAATGTGAACAAAGCACCTCTTCTCCGATCAGCAAAACATACATATGGGGAAAAAGCAAAATAGGTTTCTTTGTTTGGTGCCCTCAAGTCAGTCTTGACTCTTGGCAACTGCAGCATTCTTGGCAAGATTTCAGAGGTGATTTGCCACTGCTGTCTTCCTGGAACTGAGGACCGGCCCAAGACACACAGCTGGCTTTGTGCCTCATGTGGAACTAAAAGTCACAGTCTCATGGTTTACAAGTTGGTGCCTCAACCTGAACACCGAACTAGCTCTGCTTAGTAGGTTTATCTCAGGGGTCTTCAGGCACGCTGGCTGAGGAATTCTGGGAGTTGAAGTCCACAAGTCATAAAGGGGCCAAGTTTGAAGACCCCTGGTTTATCTGATGATAACACCACCACCACCCCTGATTCAGTGGGGTTTGCATTTGATTTCTGATGGATGAAATATCTGAGAAAAGGACCTTGTCTTTATTTTCTTTGGTCCTAAGTAAAGAAGCACTACTGTAAGATTTCTCTTAGATTTTCTTGGATTCTTGCCACCTGGCGAGCAGTGTCCTTTATAAATCTTTAGTCCAACTTTCTATTAACCTTTCTATTTTTCAAAGGTTTTTTTTTTTTTTTTTACTTCTTGCACTGGATAGAGTAATGGATTTACAGGGTACTTAATGATAAAATTTAACAGAAAATGGCATTATACTGCAAACAAGGGGCAACATTACTTTTTCACAAAGATTTTTATTTGTGGGAGAAATGCACACTAACACAGATGTTTTGCAGAAGAGTTGAGCAGTTCACTTCCTCATTGATGAAGCAGTGATCTCTAACTGGATTCTATAACGCTATAATCGACACATTTATTAGTATAGTTCAGTCTGTTAAAGTCTGTACATGAATTCAAGTCCAATTTCCCATCTTGGTACAAATTCAGGCAGTGCGTTTAAACATCACCAGTCCTGTTTAAGGCCTAAAATGTTACTTTTGTGCTTTTACTGCAAATAATTTCCTGCAAAGCTTCAAGCCCTTCACTCCCCAGGTTCTTATTTAGATTTGACTTATCTAGTGGTTCGCAGAGGTGGCGAACCTGTTTCAGTGCTGGATTGAGTTGGTGGTTAGCAAACACGTGAGGCAGGGGTCACATGCCAGTGTAACTGGGGCCATACTACTGAAAGCCCTGAGTCTCCATCAGACCTCCTCTCCCCCACTCCCGAACACTTTTGACGAATGCTAAAACTTTTCTTCAACATTTATTAACCAAATCCAGATATTGCCTTTCTAATTACTGTAGCTGAAAGAATATAGGTAGACCTTTACAAACAGCTTGTTTAGTAGCCATTAGAACAGGGCTTTTCAACCTTTTCACCCATTGTACCACTTTTAGGATATGGCAACATCTGAGTACCACCAGTCACCTAGCGAGGTGTGAAAAACTTGATGACAAAAAAGGGGGGGGAAAGGAATAAAGTACAGGTAGTCCTCGACTTACAACAGTTGCTTAGTGACTGTTTGAAGTTACAATGGCACTGAAAAAAGTGCCTCCCAAGCCACAACCGAGCAAGACACCTACCTGCCCACCTGGCCGCGCTCTTCCTCCTATCCGAGATTTTAATTGTTGTGAGAATTTCTATTGAGGATTGGCAGCGGAGGAGGTTTTTATTCCTCTTGTCTGCTGGGTGGTTGCAGCAGGTTTGGGTCACTTCACATGACCCTGGGACACTGTGACCGTCATAAATATAAATAAGTTGTCAAGCATCTGAATGTAAATCACAAGACCCTGGAGATGCTGCAACATTCCAGCTGATCGGTGCTTCTTCTGGGCTCAGCAGAAGTGCCAGGATCAGCACCGAGCTCCAGCTGGAGCCTGGTGCTGATCCTGGCGCTTCCGCTGAGCCCTGACAGCCCTGCAGCTCCAGCCATCTCTCAATCAGGCTTATGCAGAGCTGCCACCGGTTCAGCTCATTCCCCTCCCCAGCTACCAGTTTTCTAGGATGGTCATGTACCAGCTGCCAGGTGCCAATGTACCACACGTCGTACCCGTACCACTGGTTAAAAAGCCCTGCATTAGAAGATTCAATACACTGAAAAAGTGACTTATGACATTTTTCACACTTAACGACCCTTGCAGCATCCCCATGGTCACGTGATCAAAATTCAAACGCTTGGCAACTGACTCATTTGTGATGGTGTGTATGATTTGTCGTGTATCTCCTTGGCTTTGAATAAACTTTCTGTGTTCCAGTCCATGCCAGGAGGGGGCGTGACTGCTTTAAGCTTTCTTCTGATGATAACAATACTACCTGGGCTTCTAGGGAGATCAGGACCAACATGGTTTGATTATTTTGATCAGAGGCTAGCTTTTTTTTTAATCAAGTTTGGTTTGTCTTTCTGTTGGCTTTTCATGAAACAGAGCTCAGGATCTAACCACGGCATTGATATTACATAGAATTGCTCAGTTTCTAGGAGATAGATGAACTAATTTGATTCTTTTAAACTTGGGTGATGTGCACAGACAAGTTTTCTTCTGTTGCAGAGTTTGTTCTGACCAGTCTTGTTGCTATGCAAATCCAGTCCCGTCTTCTCCCTCTCTTGACATTTAGCAATAAAGAGATTCAGCAGAATTCAGTAATTCTCCTCCAGATATTATCCCAACATCCAGGCAATCAGGTACATATTTTCTTAATATTAGTGGCCTTTGGATCGATTAAAAGCATTTGTGATAGGACAAATAGATGTCCAAACAGGCATGCTTCATATATCTATATGAGAGGAAGTGTTTACAATTTATGTTATTCAGAGGTATAATAGTTCTTTTGATATTTTAATTCATAGAATTTTATCGGGGGGAATGGGAGAGAGTCCAGTTAACAGGGTTTTTATTCATAACCCTTCTGTATTTTTCTACCATATTTCCATCTCCCTAACTGAGATGGAACCTTTTTCTTCTACTTTCCTTATTACTCAGATTCAGTATGGTTTACTTGATTCCACACTATATTTTATCTTTAGCATCTTTAACTTTAACTTTATTTGCATATAGGTTTCCTTTCAAATAAAGAATATTTCCTATTAAAAAAATACCTACTTTGGTGGGTCAATAGCCCTCTTCTTCCTGCTGCTTATTTAGACCCTTTATCTCTCCCAGTTTTCAGCTGGGATTTTTTTTCAGGTTGACAAGTTAATGGCAGAACTCTTTTTGTTGGATTCATGATCTGTTTCAGTCATTACTACTGCATAGGTAGTCCTCGACTTACAACAGTTCATTTAGTGACCGTTCAAAGTTGCAACCGTGCTGGAAAAAGTGTCTTACGACCAATTTTCACACTTACGCCCATTGCAGCATCCCCAGGGTCACATGATCAAAATTCGGACAGTTGGCAACTGACTCATATTTATGACGGTTTCAGTGTCCCGGGGTCACGTGATCACCTTTTGCAGCCTCCTTTCAAGCAAAGTCAACGGGGAAGCCAGTTTCACTTAATGACCGTATTACTAACTAAACGACTGCAGTGATTCACTGTGGTAAGGTCGTAAACTAGAGCAAAACTCGCTTAAGAAATGTCTCACTTAACAATGGAAATTTTGGGCTCTATTGTGGTCGTAAGTCGAGGACTGCCTGTAGTGGAAAAAGCTATACAAGATTGGATCAAACCTTGAATAATTGGTGCTCAGTGGAAGTATTTATATTGCTGTTTGTTGAATTAACCAGCTGTAAGAATAGCACCACTCACTGGCTTTTTTATTGCTTAACAATTTAATAATGGCACACTTCCCCCCCCCCCAAGCTGGGTATTATTGCACAGAGATGCTCTGCCTCCCCCCTGCCCCCCCGCCCCATCTGTGATGATATTGGGCAACATTGGCTCTTTGGTGCAACATTACTTTGCACCTGCAGCTGAATTATACCAGTTTTACAGATTTGGATTAATCCCAGGCATACTGTTATTGCAAAGTGCTCTTCTACTGTATTTTAAGCACCGTGTTTTAATCTTTGCAGGATGCCCTGATGTCTGATGAGATGCTGCAAGCTTTGGGGGAACTGTTGCTTACCTGGAGAACAGACCCAGTAATTGTTGGTCATATGGCTTGCCTCCTCAAAAATCTCAGCCTTTCTAAAAACATACAGGCGAGTTTCAAGTAACTTTTCATAATTTTGCATATTGATCCAGAGGTTCAGTTCACAATTCAGCCACCTGAGTGATATTATATGAAAATGTTAAGCCTTTGCTGAATTCTCAACAGATATTTCTGATAGCATACGTGGAATTGGTACGTTATTATTCATTCAAACTGTATTTTTTTTAATTGAACATTTTCAAGATGTTATTTTTAAGACTCACTTCTTTCATAATTTATAACTAAAAGACACACCTGTTCCACTGTAAGGAAATACTATGACCATTTTATATACTGTTCTCTACCATATCTAAAAATTGTTTATTTATTCTCAACCTATCTAGAAAACAAATCTGTGATAATAACATGCTTGAACAAAAAGAATTTTTGGAGTTACCCAGTGCCTAAAAGATTATAGATTCAATGCTCTGTCGCTATCTCTGGACATTACTTTCCAAAGGCAGAGTATTGATAAGAAGTTTACCTCTAGTTCTCATCTCTGCTCCTTTAACATCCATTTAACTGAATTGATTTATATAGGAAAAATACTCCCCTATATTCTTAAGATAGTGGAAAGCCATTACTTTAAAATGTACCTAGAATGATACTAGAAATTGATTTAAAATTCAGAATAAAATACTTATTTCTTATTCTTGCTGCTGTAGTTTGAATGAACTAATTAGACTACAGTATATACTGTATTATGGTCACCCTGTATTGATCTCAGATTTGACTACTGCTGTCACTGTGGAATGGATTTGTGTAATGGACATTATAGCAACCACTGGAAAATCTGTAGCAATGGATTTTACACATGCTCAATTTCCTGGAGAGCAGAACAGGGGTATCAAATTGCCAGCCAGCAGGCCGGATGCATCATCCAGAAGCTGCGCCCATCCCATTGCCGGCAATGGCAAAACTGTCCCGATACATTGCGTGACGTCGCGAGTTTGACATGTCTGCTGTAGAGAATTATTAAAGCTAAACTGGTCCGATCAATTTTATTTGAAAATCCTTATGATGCTTTAAAAAAAAGTAGTTTTATAGTGAAAAAATGCAGAGTATCAGAGTGCTAAATAAATTGTGCAATGTAATAGTTCTTACAGTATTTAAACAAAATGTATAGAAGGAAAGAGAGTTTACATTATCAAACAATGCACTGACCTGCATGCTTTCTACTCATGTTAATCTCTTCACCTATTTTTATAAAATGTTGTAGATTTCCTCAAATCTGCTTTCTGAAGTTTATGAGTACCAAATGCAAAATGGGCCTAAAAATATTGGAGAGCTCGTATTTGGAATTAATAAAAGAATTTAGAGGCAACTTATGCCATAAATGTTTTAAGAAAGAAAACAATGCTACCGCAGACGGTTATTGCAGACATATGGATTTCTTGTATGCTATTCTCTATCCGCCATTCTGCATCCTTCTACCAGATTCTAAAATAACTTCAGTGTTGATTGGGGCAGAGGCAAAGTTTAGCTTAGTTGATTTTTGAATGGATCTGATATATGCCATAAAACTGCCGTGATGCTAATTTTTATAGCTTGAAATAGGTTTACAAGACTGAAATAGTATCTTCTCTATATGATTTACAGAAAATCCTAGAAAGTCCATGCATCAAAGGCCTTCTTCAAGCTATCCACAGTGCCCATGTACTAGATGATTCCCTTTTCTATGTGATATCTTGTCTTGCTGAACTGGTGAAGCATGGTAAGGAGATTTTAATTCTTTTTTTAATAATATTTTATTTATTTCCCAATTTTACATTTAAGTATTTAAAAAGCAAAATGGTGGCTGAGTTAATCAATAGTTCGATAACATATAAAAAATCTTTAGTACAAATTTCAAGTTACAACATCAAATATTTCCTCTCTTTTTCCCTTAACATCTACTGTCTCGTATTTAAGCTAATACAGTTCTTATTATATCAACTCAGTAAAAACATCATTATTACATTTATCAATAATTTTTTAGCTTATACATATCTTAATTACTTTTTACATTCAAACTTCATAAACAATCCATATCCTGTTATTAATTTTCTCCCATTTTTTAGTTTCCCATCAATATTCCAATTTAACATTTGATATTTATAATTTTCAGGCTTTAGGTAACCAAAATTTCCCTTATCTCAATTCATAACAGAATCTAATATTCAAAATACATATTTTATCTATTTGAATAGTCTTGTTCTATTTTCTAAAAGTTATCTATTTCCCACCATATTAAATCATCTACTTAATAATACAAATGATGAACCAAAACCATTATATGTATTGTCTGGGTTAATCAATAAATCAAACATATTCATAATAATTATTTTTTTTCTTTTAGGTCTAATTTTTAAATATTAAACAGATAAAATCCTTATTTTCAACTAATTTCCAAATATTTTAAAACTAATGACCAAAATTCCCCTTATCTCAACTTCTCCCTTTAACTCTCTAATTAATAATGTGAAATCCCCTCTAATAAATCAAAACCCCAATTTTCTTCAGCCTTATTCTGGCTTTCTTCCTTTGCCAACTAGCCTTCCATAACAGTGCTTTCAGATCGTCAAATAGATCTCCCTCTATTATTATATATGTTATTTGAAATAAGGGAGACCTTTTAGTTGCCATTTTTTTGGGAAGGACTAGCCCATTTGTATTCATTAAATTGTCTCCCTATTATTCTAATTCCCCATGATTGCCCTGATATGTTTATCTTCCATTTAATCTGTTCTTCTTTCTCAAATTTCTTCTGATTTATATAGAAAGTCTTTCCCATTTTTAGTGTTGTCATTCCCTTTTCTGGATTTTCCATTAACTGTATTTGGTGGTCAATTGAGTCCTCTGTCTTAATATTTGATTGTTCCACTTCTTCTGTTATCTTCTGCGTTGTTAGTTCTTTGGTTGTAGTCAAAGTTTGGGTTTGTGTATCTAAGCTGGCATCTTGTTCTTTTACGTTAGGTCTTATTTTATCACAAGCTGAAAGAATGGTTTCATTTATTGTTTCAACATGGAAAGGCTCTTTTCCTGGTCTTCATCCATATTCTTTTAATAATGTGTTAAATTGAGGACTTTAAAATCAGACGTTAAAAATATTTTTATAACTAGGTATGGGACCTCTCTTTCACATGTTTATAGATAGTCTTTATAGTAGAAGTCGTTTGTCAAGCAGGATTTTATAGTCCAAGGTATTTCATCATTTCGTATAGTAACCAATGTTCCTCAAAAAAAGAGATAGGAAGGGAATTCCTCACATATAACACTGAAAGTCAGTAAAGGTTTACATTCATAGTTCAAGTAGGCCAGCTATGCCACCCAGATGTTCTCTTTACAGCCGAGTTTCTCACAGGTGGTACCAAGGTCAAAAGAGTCTTATCTAAAGTCTGGGCTTCGAGCCAAGACTCTTTTAGGAAATAACAAGTTGTAATACCACACTTCGCCACAAGATGTCACCGATGCTGTTTAAAGTTTTTTAAATCCAACATTTTTACAATCCTTTTTCCAATTATATTTATTTTTTGTAGATAAAAACAAAAGTCTCCAATAAAAATAAGAAAAGTTTTGGTCCCCAAGTTTCAGGAATATATAAATCCAATTAGGTTAAAATTGTTCTTTTAGTGCTTTAATTCCCCTCCGCTATTCTTAGAGGGTGGGATAGAAATTCCCTTCCCTCTCTCCTCACAGGGGGAAAGATACTTTGGGCAGCTTTTATAGGAAAAGAAAATACTTAGGATAAAGAGAAGATCGGATCTCACCCAGTTTCATCCACGTTGCTTTAGAATCGCTTCATGGTGAGTTTGACTTCGGCTGCCTGCAGCCTAGTGACAAGCCATATTACTATGGCCAGTCTTCCTCTGCTGGTTTGGAGGGCTGCTCTGGATTGAACAGAAGGGCTGCTGCCCTCCCATGATCAAGTGGGGGTCCCCTCCTTGGTCGTCGCCCCTACAGGGCGACTTTCAATGCTTTCCAGGGTCTATTGGAGTAAAAATATAAATAGAATTATATTTAAATTTAATTTAAATAGGAGAGCCAGCTTGGTATAGTGATTAAGGCACCAGGCTAAAAACTGACAGACTGTGAGACCTACTCCCCACCTCAGGCACAAAGCCAACTGGGTGACCTTGGGCCAGTCACTCACTCTCAGCCCTAGGAAAGAGGCAACAGCAAACCACTTCTGAAATCTTGCCACTTGCCTGGAATCAGCAATGACTTGGAGGAATTAATAAATAAAGCAAACATAATTTAAATAGATTTTCTTCTCTATATACAGAAATCAATTTTAATCTCAACAAACTCAGATTTCACTCACTAACAAAAATATTTAGATTACCAAAAAATTCTAAAGTGCTTCTTGGTTTTAAAAGGAAAAGTGTAATATTTGCTTGGATGCTCTTTTTTTTTCCCTTTAAATATCTTTTCTCAATGATTTATCTCACAAAAATTACGTCTTTTTTAAACTCACCTCAGCTTATAAAATATACATATATTTAGAGGGAGTCGGCAACACTTTGAAGAGAATGTATAAAGTACAGGAAGTCCTCGACTTACACAGTTCATTTAATGAACGTTCAAAGTTACAACGGCACTGGAAAAAGGGACTTATGACCATGTTTCACAGTTACGATCTTTCCAGCATGCCCATGGTCACGTGATCAAAAGTCAGATGTTTGGCAGCTGGTTCATATTTATGACCGTTGCTTGTGCCAAGGTCATGTGATCTCCTTTTGCGACCTTCTGACAAACAAAGTCAATGGGGAAGCCAGGTTCACTTAACAACTGGGTTACTAATTTATCAACTGCGGTGATTCATTCAATAACTGAAGCAAGAAAGGTCGTAAAATGGGGCAAAACTCACTTAACAAATGTCTGACTTTATTTTGGGCTGAGTTGGGGTTGTAAGTCAAGGGCTACCTGTATTGGACAAATCATAAAACACTTTGGGACTGAACTTTCCATTGCTAAGCAATGTAGACCTCAAAGCATGACATGATATGACCATACCACTTAGCAACGACAATCCTGGCACTCCCCACTGTGGTCCTGCAAAGGTCACTGGATGTTATGTGACCCCAAGTGGCTCACAAACAGGTGTAATTGCAGAGCAACTTGCAACTTTCCCTGCTGACTTCCCTATTGACTTTGCTCAGGACAGGGGTGGGGAACCTAGGCTCTTTTATGACTTGTGGATTTCAACTCCCAGAATTCCTGAGCCAGCCATGCTGGCTCAGGAATTCTAGGAGTTGAAGTCCACAAGTCATAAAAGAGCCAAGGTTCCCCACCCCTGGCTTATGAAAAACTAGTAGGAAAGGTTGCAAATGGTGCTCCTGTGACCATCATAAGTGCAAGCCAAGTGTTCAGATTGTGATCACATAACCACGGAGGTATTGAGATGGCCGGAACTTTGAGGACCGATCATAAATACCACTCAGTCAGTACTGTCGTAACATCAAACAGTCATGAATGAGTGGTCATTATACAAAGACTATCTGTAAGATTGGTCCACCTATTTAGTATTCTCTAAAGCAGTGTTTCTCAACCTTGACAATTTTAAGGCATGTGGACTTCAACTCCCAGAATTGCTGGCTGTGGAATTCTGGGAGTTGAAGTCCACATGCCTTAAAATTGTCAAGGTTGAGAAACACTGCTCTAAAGTCAAATTAGCATCCTTGGACACCAGCTTAATCCACCATAGGCAAATTCCATCAAGTAATTCCTCTGTCAAATCATAGGAAATATTCTGCCAAATTTTGAATTAATCAGATGCCATCTTCACTACTGTGGCTAGTTCTGGGAACCACATTTTGAGAGAGAGATTACAGACATTGAAACCGGAAAGGGCAACAAGGTGACTAAGTCTTATGAGGCAACTGGATATGGTCCCTTTAGAGAAGAGATGCCTGAGGGAAGCGTAATAGTCCTTCTTACCATACGTACATGAATGGATGCTGCACAAAAGTCCAAGACCTATTCTTTACCACTCCAGAGTGTGAGACATGGAATAATGTTCCCAATATCCTGTTCCTAAGAAAAGTTTCCATTTAAATGCTAGGAAAAGCTTCCTCATGATAAGACCAATTGAACAATGATACCAATTACTGAGGGAGATGGTGAGCACCCTTTGCTGAATGTGTATAAGGAAAGGCTACGCATCTTTCCGTTCAGGATGTTTTAATTTCTCCACTGATTATGATTTGAGAGGCCTACTGAGTATTTGACTCCGTAATTCAATATATTTACTTCAAATCTTGTACAGTCTTTCTCTGTTCTGTTGGAGGGGGGGTCTGTTCATTTGTCTATTAACTCCTTATTACATCTTTCTTTCTACTATTAGAAGGAGCCACAGTGCATATTGTAGCATTGATGGATGAACCATGGATAAATCATTTGGTGAAATTAGCTAACGAGGTGGAACAAACCGAGCTTTCGTTCCAAGCTGCCTTTTTGATCAAACACTTCGTAAGGCATGGTATGTATCAACAAGGAGTCTGATATTTATATTTTCAGCCTAATGATCAGCCTAATGATGACAAGTATTGGGTTAAAAAAAAAGAGGACAACAGCTTGAGCCTTGAAGTGCAAATCCTTTTATTTATATTTAGTTTTAAATCATTCTCAGAGCATAATGGGATTCTGAAAGACTTATTAAATGAATGGATTACAGCTGGATGATCATCTATTTTCTTCTGATATACTAATAATGTAAATATAATTGACTACAAGCAGTTATTTTGTGGCTGACCACACTTGGCATCCTTGCCTTGGGCTCTTATTCTTCTAATTTAAATATGAAAATTTGTTTGAGAGAGTGAAGCAAATGATTCCAACACAGCAATTAACAAACATTTTGCACCATAATAGAATCTTCCATAAGGGAAAAATCCTGTTAAATATGCAATCACTGCTCAAACATTAATAGATTTACTGCTGCAACTTGAAGTGATATTTAATTTGAAAAATCATTGTGGCATGAAACTTCTTTAAATCCCCCCTCTTAAAATAATGCATTTATTATTACACATACACAATTAGTACACATACTAATTGTGACTAGAAGACAGTCACTACACAATTATGTAGTATTATCGCTGTGCTTTAATTTCCAAGAAGATGAAGTTCTTTAGGAGATTTAACACTTGTATTTTTATTTTACAAAATAAAATTTAAAATGAATTAGCAGAGCTCTGCTTGCTGTCATTTATGACTTTATAGAAAACTACATTTATAAATTTTCAATGTTAAAATACTCTTAGCTTAACAAATTAGTAACCAGAAAAGCAAGCAGGGGCAGTCATCATAAGCAGAAAGACATCATTATTTTGATTTAATAGTGCAGTGTAATTAATGGATTCTGTTCTGTATTTTTTTTCCTGTTCTCCATATCAATTGCATAGAAGAGGTAGTGACTCTGTTGAAAACTCACATGAACCAGGTTCAGCAATATCTGATGAAGTATCTTATTCACCGGGAGATTCGTTTTCAGCATTTAGGCATAACCACTCTCTGCGCATTACAGAAAGGTGTGGACTACTATGATCTAAAAAATCTCTATAAATCTTTCAGATAAAATAATGGTTCAAATTAAACCCCAGGAGTTTTATGCAGTGTCTAGCATAATAACTAGGTTCACCGGAATTTACCAGGATTTGAGTCCTGACTGCTTCTAGTAATGTACAGTAAACAAACTCCAGCTTTATAAAGTTCTGATTAAAAGTTAATCTCTTTTCACTGATATTTTCATCAGACTTGTATAGAAGTTCATTTTCATTGTCACACATTTTATGCTTCTAAAAATTATTTTTAGAAAAGGAGCATCAATAATCTCATAATTCTAATTCCCTGAATTTTTTCCAACTATTTTTATTAGCAGCAGTAAAGGACTCAAGATGTACCCTTGTAGGGTATTGGTAGGGGAAGACCTAAGAGAGTGAAACCAAGCCAAAGTCCCAAAGTGCAACATATAAGAGGTCCAGCTAGAACAGTGTTTCTCAACCTTGACACTTTTAAGGCATGTGGACTTCAACTCCCAGAATTCCACAGCCAATATTGCTGGCTGTGGAATTCTGGGAGTTGAAGTCCACATGCCTTAAAAGTGTCAAAGTTGAGAACACTGAGCTAGAAGATGAAATTCAGAGAGTTATTTTTGACAGAAGGTCCAAAGGCAAGCTTGGATCACCATAAGAGATGAATTTGGTTCATCCTTATAAGTACTGTAGAACCCTTGTGATTGAACAGCTGAAAGTGGAAGGCTGGCTGTTGGAAATGAGGCACACAAGAATGCCTGAAATTTGTCATATTTTTGACTGAGAAAGAGAACAGGTTCTCTTTAGGCTTGTTGAACAGATGAATGATGAATAAGAAACAGGAATATGCACGAATTCCCTAAGAGGATCTTGAAAAATCAGAACATCAAAGCAGGTATTAAACATCAATAATTGAAAGTTAGCCTATATTTCATGGTGTTACTAGAACTTTATAGATAGAATGTACATCCTTAGACAATACCATCAATCTAATGTCAAATAAATTTATGGACAAATGTAAAAAGATGTAAACTTCTGCAGTCTAATACCTGAATACCTTCTGTCTTATATTAAGATCCAGACTTTTTGGCAGCATTCAGTAGCAGTGAACTGAAGAAGCACCTTGATGAAATCTGTCAACAGACTGAAATTATGCAAGAACTTCTCAGTGTTGCTATTGGACATATGGAGGCATGAGAGACACTTCCAGCCTGCATATCATTAGCCAACATGGGGACCATTAGCCTCTGAATAGGCGGCTGAGCTAAGATATTGGCATCTTAGGTTTAATGGATCAGCCTTGGGTAAATCCACAATAGCTACATACAGAAATTATGATGCTCGTTATTTGGGTAGAAATTAAAGGGACATTTCACCCATCACGAGGCACGTAAACAGACTCCATTGAAAATGATTGGGTTTGTGATTATATCAAAAATTTGCCATGTTTGACTTATCTCAGATGGCTGATTCACATATACTGTAACTGTTATTTTGATGCATTCATGGACCAGTCTTAAAGATAGTTCTACTATACAGATGCAAGACAGATGGAACAATCTAAACAATCAAACAATCTAATTCTGTTATACAGATGATGCAATTTTGTACCATTCTTGCTGATTTGTAATCTGCAGATCTCTGCAGATTCGGATTATCCATCTTGCCTTGGAATTAACTTTGGCAATATTCTTATTTTAATAAACTGTGATTTGATTGTTTTAACAGCTTTGAAATGGGGGAAAAAAATCTCCGCTAGCAAATAATTATGTGCACGTAGGTTTTCAAGACAAATTTGTGACGTTTTTATGAAAATGGGCATTTCTAGAAAAATGTATATTTATGTAAAATGTTTGTTGTTGTGACTATTTTAAGATGCTACTTTTAAGATGCTACTATTTTAAGATGCTGTATGTTTTTATATAGGCAGGAATGAGTCTTCTCCTCCCTGGGTCATTAACTGATACTTCAGGGAAGGGAGCTGGAGCATTCCCATCATATTAGAACGGTGGTTCTCAACCTGTGGGTCGGGACCCCATTTGAGGTCGAACGACCATTTCATGGGGGTCGCCAAACAACGCAGTCCGCCATTTTTTCCCCCTTTTCCTTAGCTGTGCTACTCCCTTTTATTCTATTGGCTTTTGAAAGCCAATAGAATAGACTCTCTTGAATAGAGTCTAATTCTATTGGCTTTCAAAAGCCCATAGGAATTGTCCAGGCTGTCTCTGCCCTGCGGAGCCCGCCAAAAGTCCCATTCTGCAAACGGTGCTGCACCAGTTGAGTAGTCCTCGACTTACGACTGGTTGAGTAGTCCTCGACTTATGACCGGTTGGGGGTCGCGGCATTAAAAAGGTTGAGAACCACTATATTAGAACATGTTGAACAGGCAGAAATAATTGGAGATAGGTGATTCCATCAATGACAATTGTTGAATCCAAAGGTTTCTAAGTGCGTATTTGCATATTTGTATTAAAGTAGAAAGTAAGTAGAAAGATCTTCTGGAGGACATGGGGCTATCTATCAAAGAGGATATAAGGTACCTAGTTGCCCAAAGAAACCTATTCAGAACCTGTTCCTATACGTATGTGCATATGCTCAAGAGCTTTGTACATGTCTGAATTAAACTGATTATTGTATTCTATTGGGGGAAAAAACTGAATAATTGCCTTACATAGAAGATTACTGCTTTCTTTGTGCTACTAAAATCTGGAAGCCACGTCCAAAATCTGGAAGCCACATCCAAAGTTTGCATCTAATCTAGTTTTGGGTGATTCTGCAGTTGTCTGCAAACTTAGTAAAAATGAAAGTGTGCACATAAGTGTGATCTCCAATAACCTTTTGTGCTTTTGTTTTCAGGCCTTTGCGCATTGAAGATTGATCTGCAGGACACACAATGGCAGTGAAATATACTGCTCAAAAAAATAAAGGAAACACAAACGTATAGGATCCTATATGTTTGTGTTCTCTTTTATTTTTTTGAGCAGTATACATTTTTCACAAGAAACAAAACATACTTTCCTCTGGCTAGTTTACAGGTGTTTCACCTCTTATTAAATTGGATTTTTAAATTATTAAAATCTAGTTTATAGGAAGCAACATAAACTGTTATAAATAACTAATATTTTAGAGGAGAATAATGTCGCAGGACGCAGAAGAATCAGAAGAACCTCCTAAAATGAAAATGGTCATCTGATCCATATGCAGCATTTCTTCTAGGAATAGGCCAGTGATGGCAAACCTTTTAGAGACCGAGTGCCCAAACTGCAACCCAAAATCCACTTATGCATCGTCGGGTGTCGGGTGGGAGTGGCCCATTGGCTGGGTGTGACCAATCGGGTGGGTGTGGCTGCGGTGGTAACGGCAGACTGGGTGGGACTAAAAAGTTCAATCCATTCCAACTTTGCAAGATCTTTTTTTTCCCCCGTGAGAAGTTGAAATTGACTGATTGATTGAACCTTTTTTTTTGCACACAGTGGCGGAGGCCTAAAGTGAAAAGCTTTTATAAAACCCAACTGAAGGCCTAGGACTGGGGCGACGGCGCGCGTGCCCACAGAGAGGGCTCTGAGTGCCGTCTCTGGCACCCGTGCCGTAGGTTCGCCACTACTGGAATAGGCTGTGTTCATCAAGGATTGTTGAATCTGTTCCTCCCATTAGACTGCAGGAAGAACAACTTTTAGCTCCCTCATTAGAAAATGCCTGAACTTCCCAAATAATTGAATAGCATCTATTTCATGTAATCACCATTCTGCAACACTATGATATCAAACAGACCAGGTCTTAGTGCCTTAGAATCAAAGATAGCCCAGATGTTGGGCAGCTTCTGAACCCAACACCATTTGGTCTTGCTGGGATTCAGCCAAAACTGTTCCTCCCTATCCAATTCTAATGGCCTCCAGACATCAGAACAGGACGCCAGTAATATTTCCTGTTCAGCCTATACGATATGGAGAACATTATGGGTACATAAACTGCATCTTCATATTCCAAGTCTGGAAAAAGCTCATTGAATTCGAAGAATAACATTAAGCCAGAAAGCTTTGTTTTATTTGCTGAACTATCTGCTAACTAGATAAATTAAGGAAAGCCAAACTTGCATTGTTACTTATAGCCACATTTTTATTGTTTATTTTGTACTCAACAAAATTAATAAATACATTATCTAAGATACAATAGGCTTTTTTTCATTTCACCTATGAAAAAATAATGCTTTCAATTTTTTTTTCACATTTTAAAACCTGTCATGTTATTTTATTTGTAAAAGAAAATGTGAGAAGAGTGTAGTGATGGCTGAATATACAGAATGTCCATTTAGGAATTACATTTACAAGAACCTGATACAGAAGCCTATATTTTGCCCCTATAATTAATAGTTCTCTGCAATAATATTTAAACCAACAGGTTTAAACAAAAAACACACCCCTGTGGCCCCTCCCTGTAGAGCAGTGAGGTGTTTACTTTTCAAGTATTGAATCAGTAAAATGTACGATTCTTTGCTGATTTTACAGTGTGCCTTTTAAAACTACCCATCTTCAAAACAAGACAAAACCAACAGGCTCATTATCTCAATCATCCTGTTACTGTTAATCTAGTTACCCTTTTCTTCAAGAATGCTGAAAATATCAGTTATGCTACGTGAAGCAATTTTTGAAACAGAAGACACAATTCTTCCCTAGTAGTGAGTTCTATTGATAGAAAGGCAATCCAAATCTATTTCCAATATATTCTACCTGTTGTCTTAAAAAAAAAAAAAGAAAGAAAGCATCCAAGAAATGTTTAGAAAATTCAAGAGTGACAAAAATATAACACTCCTTCATAGCATGGAAGGAATCCCATTGGCTTCAGAGGCCTTTTCTTCGCCTTTGATGATTCATGAAGAGATGTCAGACAACTTCTGCAAAGGAAAGCCAATGAAGAAAATATTAGCAACAGTTCCTACCCAAAAGAACAAACAGTCCTGTCATGGATGATGATCATGATGATGGGAGATGACTTGGATCTTATTAGTTCCAATGACTGGAACTGCATGTAAAAAGGTCTCATGAGTGGAACAGGAGAAATAATATCTGCCAATTCCTGTTCCTCTGAAGCTCTCCTATATGTTCTGAACACCTGCTGAAAGAGTTGAAACAGCAGGAGGTTGTGCTAGGCCTGCAGGGAGAAGGGGAAATTGGCAAAAAACATCACTCGTTCTGTCCTTCTGCTGGTAATGCCACCAATGGATCAGAGTGGCTTCCTTTCGTGGGACAATAGCAATGCCACCTAGACTTATATACCACTTCACATTGTTTTACAGCCCTCTCTAAGCGGTTTAGAGACAGCATATTGCCCCCCACAATCTGGATCCTCATTTTTCCATCGGAAGGATGGAAGGCTGAGTCAACCTTGAGTCAGACAAGATTGAACTTCTGAAGTGAGCAGTGAGTTAGCCTGCAGTACTGCATTCTAACTGCTGCACCACCACGATAATTCAAGATCCATGCACCAATTATTAAATGCAGAAATAGTTCCATTCTATGGTAACCTCACATAAACTGAACAAAGTTCCTGTTACCTAGAGTTCTGAACCTGAATAGAAAATTTTCACGAAATACCTGACCTTATAATGAAGAAAACTCTGCACATGTCGAAATCACTATTTTTATATATCTGTTACAGAAGCCTTGCTTTTTCCTACTTTTATTAAAAGTCTATTTATCCTTTAAGAAACTTGCTTTTTTATCAGAAATAAATTTTATAACAAACAATTTTTTAAATAAATAATTTTGTTTGAAATTCAGATCTGTGCCCTCTCCTACAAGCCAAGTGCAATTAATAATCAAGCTTCTGTCTCTCTGTCCCATTCCAGGTGCAGGTTGATCTAAGAACCAGGATTAATATGTTTACTGCAGATTTTATAACTCTTTATTCCTTGCTCTTAACACACTCAAATGAGGCATTTGCTAGATTCGTTCCAGGGTGTGCAGGTTAGAAGGTTTACAGTAAACATTACCTGTTGTCTGAGGCGTTTGAACATTGTCTACCTGAGGCAATGACCCTCGTGCCCCATTCTCTTCAAAGGCCAAGATGGGAGTCAAAGGAATGTCAGAACTATCTTTCTCTTCAGGACTCATGGCATCTAATCTGGGAGGTTTTTTTCCCATGGGTAAACTGATGAGCTCTTCAAAGTTTTCATCCTGAGTAGATACTCCATTTTCATTTGGATGTTTTCGTGGGTTGAGATTACTGAAATACATTGACAGGTAACATAAATTAACTGATAACAAGCCAGATGTTTATAGGAAAATATATGACTATTTTAATCCATTGCTTTTTAAATTATATCTGAATTTATTGTAGACTTAGTTTCCTCTACCAGATACATTTAGCTCATGATGCACAAAAATTTAAGTAATGTTTTGGAAACACCATCTGTATTCAACTTCATCTTGCATTTTATTGATGGAGATAGCACTACCCATATGGATTAATACTAACAGGAGGTGTTCTTAAGTCAATTGACACACCAACCAAACTTTGGCAGGTGGTAAGATTTTTCTTCACATATTAAACTTCAGTGAGTTCACATTCATAAATAATATAATAAAATTAAATAATTGGATCTTTATATTGTTGCTCCTGATGGTTGTTAGACTTAACTTTGAATAGCATGTTTGTATTATCAAACAAAACTGGTATTATTTAGTCAATGTACAAATTATTCTTGAATTACCGTACTAAATGCCAAGAAAAACTGTGTAATTCTGAATGCAAATATTGCCAAAATATTTTCAAAAATAGTAAAAAATGCAACAAATAGAAAACCTAAAGAGTAAGTTATACTATAAGTTGAAGTTGGTGCCTTCTTCCACATCTTTAAGCCCTCTTCTGCAAAATTTCCTGATATGCTGCCTAATAAAATTGTGACAGAATTTTTATTTATTTATTTGATTTTTTTTAATCCTACCTTTATTATTTTATAATAGTAAATCAAGATGGTGAACAAATATAAGACCTCTTTTTCCTCCTATTTTTCTCTGCCAAGTGGGTTGGGTTGACAAACTTATCAAGAAACACAAGAAAGGTTTGGATATATAAAGAATTTTCCCTTTTGTTTTTTATTTCATGATGCTATAAAGCAGT